AGAGGACAACTTTTGGGAGTTGTTTTTCTCCTTTTATCATGTCGAGTTCAGGTAATCAAATCCTGTTGCCAGGCTTGGCAGCACGTGTCTTACCACTGAGTCATCTCACGGGCCCTAGGAGGTCAGAGGTCAACTTTCAGGCATTGGTTTTTTTGGTTCCCACCATGTGAGATGGAACGCAAGTGGTCAGGTGTGGCAGCAAACACCTGTGTCAACTGAGCTATCCATCTACCCCAGGCACCACTAGTTTTGGAGGGCCTCACTGATTATCTTTAACAGTACAGGACTGTTTTCTAAATGAGCTTTGAATTGATGGACTCATGCAATTCCCTTAGGAGCTTCTAGGCACTATTCCAACTCTCCTCCCACCACCTCACTTTTCCCCTTATTCAAGTAAGGTCGACAGGCTGGGGTCTGCATGGGCCCAAGAATAAGCTGCTCCTGACCTTGGACGAGAGGCATTCTGTACTGGAGACAGTCAAAGCTCCAGGCTATGCATGTGGGAGGCCTGTTCCTTCTGGGGGGAGGAGGAGGCATTTCTTGTCTTATTATTTTCCTTGTGTTCCTCCAGTGACAGCCTTGAGCTAATGGCCCAAGAAAAACCAGATAGTGAAAAGTGCTTGGAGCAGACCTTCTCTGACACTGCTTGGTAAGACTGTCCCTTCCATTTTCCGCTTCTCAAAGTGTTTTGATCATGTCTGGCTTCTCATGTGTGCCCCAAGCCTGAGCACTCATCCATCCCTTCTGAATGCCCTGTGAGGAAGGACCATTAACTCCGCTTCTTTCACACTCCCCCCAGGGCAGTCACATCTTTCATACACTCCCACGGCTTTCCTTTCACACCAAATTCCTTGGAAAAAATCGTTGATTTCCCCCCACCTCAAGTTCATCATCATGCTGTAGCTGGCTCCACCGTCAGTAACTAGTGCTGGGAACTTGAGCCAGTTTCATGGGCCTCTCATCCTGGACGGGGCAGAGTTGGGAGAACGGAGGGGGTAAAGACAGCTGAGTTGTAGATTCAGTAAAGCACAGTGAGCTCCATCTTTCTCTGAAGCAAGCCCTATGCTTGCTTACTAGAAAACTGAGGTAGCTCTGGGGGCCTATCAACCCTAATGCATCACTAACCTTCTAGAGCACAAATACAGTTATGTGTCTGATATTCCCCACCTAAAACATGGCTTAAGATAACAATTGTAACCCTTACCTCTGCTCTCCCGCCCCGCTTCCACGGAGCCCCCACCCCCGCCCCCCTTCATCCTGGCACCCCAGTCTTTCCAGTTCCCTACACTCAGCAGCTCCAGCCCACTAACATGCACAACTGTGGAATGCTCCTGGCCCACCGTCGGTCTCATTCTGCCTGGCTAAACCCTAGGCTTCCTTCCTCTTCTCCGACAAACCTTCCCAGGAACTCTGGAGTAAACTTTTCCTAGCGCAGTTTCCGTGCTGCATAAACCTGTACTTTCCTTTGTGGATCTTAGCAGCAATATACTAAATTAGTTCTATCTCCTGGCTTTTAAAAAGATGGACTGCTTTTTCCATGAGAGTAAAGACCACAGCTCTCTGGTTGCTGCAGTAATCTTTATTCTAAGCACAGTGCCCGGAATACAACTATTCAACAAAGACTTTCCTTCCAGGTTTGATGGTGGCCACCTTTAATTCCAGCACCTGGGACGCAGGGGCCAGTCTGGTCTATATAGTGAGTTCCCCAGCCATCTAGGGTTATATAGTGAGACCGTGTCTCAATTTTTTTTTAAAATAAATGTTGACTGAATGTTAAGTACATAACAAATGACCTAAAATAAGTATGCTTTTCTCTGTAATTATAGAATCAGAAGGCTTTTCATTACTAAATTCATTACAAAATGTTTTCAAATTTTAAATTACTTTTATTTATTGGGGGGGGCAGTGGGGATTTGTGCCTGTGGTGTGGTATACATATAGAGGTCAGAGGACAACTTGAGGGAGATCTTTCTTTCTACCACGTGGGTCCTAGGGACACTCAGGCCATCAGGCTTGGCAGCAAATGCCTTTACCTGATAAGCCACCTCGCTGACCTCAAATCCAATCCTTTTGGAGGATTCCTCTGATGAAACCTTACAGCACCGTGTAGACAGGCAATCAGAAAGATCAGTGACCAAACATACTGATTGTCCTCTACCTACTGTGTTCCTCTCTGAGGCCCCTCACTTTACTTCCTAAAGATCCGTTAGGAATTGTTGGTAATGGCTGCTAGCTCTGTGCTGTTCTCCTGCCCTGCCTGGTCTTCATGAAGCAATCTACCATAGTAAATTGTTCAGCTTAGCTGTGGGACCACCCTGGGGAACAGCACAGCTCACTCCTGGAAGTTCCACTCCTACTTCCTGTACAGAGAGAAAGCACAGAAGGTAGCAGGCACTTAGAAAGGGACTCCATCTACATCAAAACCTTTAACGGCAGACCCCACTGCAATATCTTCTTTGCCCACAGAGGGGTAGATTTCATATTGACATAGCCGCTGGAGCAGACCTGGCCTGATCACACATGTTCCCTGTTTTGTGTCTGCTTCCTCATCACCCCCAGATACCAGAAATGCTTTCTCAGGACTATGTATTAATAATAATTGACCCTCCATCACAAATACCCAGTTAAGTGAGGCCACCAAAGTCTTTCTGGGTTCTACAGGCCCTTTGCCAACACGTTTTCCCTTCCTCTCTAGTCTATCATTTTCTTTATCTTAAAAGGCCCTCCTGTTCACAAGCCTGCAATGTGACCTGGAAACACCATCTGGTTCCAGTTATTCATAGCCAGAACAGCCTAATGTAACTCAGTAGATAAGAAGCTGTGTCTGGAACAGTTTATGGCGGAGTCTGTGGCACTGGTAATTTGCTGCATGTGAGAGCCTACTTTGCCTTTATTTCTGTTCAGTCTGATGAAATTTTAAAGAAGCCACACTGGTCAGAAGGAGAGCTGCCACCCAATATTTTGGAGAAGCACGCTCCTCAGCATCCCACTCCACAACAATTTCTCACTCTACAAGAGCCTTCTAATAAGCTGGGGTCTCTCCTCAGTGTCATAGGGTTAGTTTCTCCAAAAACTTCTACAACTCTGATTTAAAGCAACAACTCACACAATCATTGACCAAATTCATTAACAGTGCTACAACTCTTCAATCTCTAGGACTTCAGCTATGAGGAAGATCCAGAGAACCTCCTGAGCAGTGAGGAGGGAGGGCTGCCAGAAGTTGAATGCTCAATAGCATGATGAGGAGTGAATTTTAAAACCCTGTGGTTTGTAGGGACTTGGAGGTGAATTTATTTAATCCCAGAACCAGGAAGCAGAGGCAGGTGGATCTCTGTGAGATAGAAGTCTGGATGGCCAGTTCCAGGCCAGAGCCAGGGCTACATGTGAGACCTTGTCTAAAACAAACAAACAAACACAAACAAACACTGTGGCTTCTAGCCATCAGGTAAATCAAGCCTCATCTGGATGAATACAAGATCTGAATACTATACACACAGCAGGTAGGGAGGGAATGGGGTGATGTGATGGGTGTGATCTGGGGGCGTAGCCCTCAGTGTGGAAAAAGCAAGCTTTCCCCTCCCTGCCCTTCCACATACTCCTCTACTGAGTAAACTGATCCCCCCGGGGCTGCCTCTTTTCCCTTAGAGTTTCCTACTCAGCCCAGCCATTTCTGTGGTTTGAGGAAAGGAGGGGGGTCACAAAGAGAAGCTAAGCTGAGTGGATGGTTGGATCCAGAAGTAGCTGGACGGAAAAGGTAACGCACAGGAGGAAAGGGGTGGTGGGTGGTGGGTGGTGTTCCTCAGTGTACCTAGTTATCAGGATACAAGGCAGGGTTTCGGGGGCAGGGGTCTGTAGAATAGCTTCTAGTATCTATAGCTCCCTAAGTACATCTGGGAGCACTGAAAAATGCGCCATGCCTAAGGGCTCCATGCTCAGAAATTCCAGCAGTGAATGATTCAAAGTTGTCACAGGCGAGTCTTGTAAGGAAACTTCCGGTGCGAAGAATGATCCAAGGGGCTACCAGAGATTCCTTCGTCCACAACCCCCACACCAAGAGGGCTGGGGGAGGCAGGACGCTCAGGCTTTCTGCAACGACACCTAACCTTTGCAGCCCGGGGATGTCTCTGCATTCAAAGATGGATCGCTGCGATGACAGTTGAGGAAATTTGAAGGCTGCGTGAAACTATTAATATAAAACATGCATCTCGAAGTAAGTCCTGAAAATGTTTTCTGGAAACTGCAAGGCATAATGATCCAGAAGATTCGTGGTAGCACCGGTATTTTCCCTCGTTCTTCAATACGCCGGAAGGGATTTTACCTAAAGATGAAGTATATAAGTAGGAGCTAGTGGCATACATAATAGTGCTCATGATTGTTCCTAAGCTGTGTGACTGTATTTAGCGTCACTAAATGTTTGGGTTTATTGGGGAGACACTGGATCTGAGAGGAGGAAACTGGAACCCCTGTTCGTCCGAGGTGGGAACCTGGAACTTCCCACACTCTAAGCAAGAGTCGTGGCTTCCTACAGATGCCTGCGCTTAATCTTTACAGTAAGGAAAGTTTGGGGCGCAAGTAGAGTTTTCTGTTTTCCTTTGACAATACTAGGCCTGGGGCACCTTCTAGTGGTGGGAAAAGTCACTGCGGTCTCCCTCCGGCACATCCCAAGGAGCCCGGAAACTTTATCAGCCCTTTTAGGAAGAAGCATCAGTCGACGAGAACAATCCGCTGCGTATTCTCCGAGGACGGCGGGGATGCTGCGGGAAGGGGAGCAGCAGGAAGGGACCCGAGGGCCAGCCCGCCGCCAGCATAGACCCGGCTGCGTGCCCGCCCTGGAGATCCGTGGGACCGAGTTCCCCAACGGCGCCGAATGCTGTCGTTTTAAAAGAAGAACGAAGGCTAAACAAATGGGAGAGAAGGCGGAAAGAACCTGATAAAGGTGCAAATATGTGAACCAAGGGCGGATGGTTAGGGAAGTGCAGAGAATACAGAACAAGCATCCCTTAGTCTCCACTGGTAGCGTGGCCGAGCGGTCTAAGGCGCTGGATTAAGGCTCCAGTCTCTTCGGGGGCGTGGGTTCGAATCCCACCGCTGCCACACTGTCTTTTGAACGGGGCACCTTGCACACTACAAATTCAGAGAGGATGTACATGTGCATTATTTGGGAACTTTTTATAGTTCCAAATTTTTCGTCGTGCAAAATATTGACAGTACCACCCTCTCAAGGCGCCTTTATGCCCTTGGTTTCCCAGAGGCAATGTGCTTCCCAGAGTTTTGCTTCGTCCTTCCTAAATCACCTAAGCGCTTATTTCGAGCCCTTGACGCTGTCCAAGCTGTTAACAAGTACAGAAAGATAAATAAGCAACGATGCCCATCCAAAAGAGAAGCTCTGGAGCCAAACTGCAAACGTGCGAGTCACGGAGAACAGCCGCGGCGCAGGGAGTCGGTGGGGCTGCGCGGAGCTCGGAAGGGGCTCCAGGTGAGAGCGTCCTAGTCGGTAGAGTGGAGACAGTAATAGCGTAAACTTCTAATACCGTCTGTAGATGCCCTTAAGGCACTTAGAACAGTGTGGAAAGATGAACATCTATTTAGGTTTTCGCATTTTAATGAAGCCCACTGCTCGGCCCCTACCCGTGGGAGACTCCAGTCCGCGCCTATAGAAACCAAAGGAAATACTATTTTCTTGTAGCTTCTAGAGCAAACGCGTTCTTTCGCTTCTAAGGGCCTAGTAGCTATCAATGTGAGGATTACAGAGGTCAGCGTAATGAAATGTGTGTCTCCCAGACCTTTACCCAAAGACGGGAGAGCAGAAAGGACGGGGATCATGAGAGAGAAGCTGCGAGGGGCGCCTGTGACCACTTCAATTCCACGGCACTCGAGGCCGGGACACCTGCCTGCTTTCTGCTGCCCCGGCTTATGAAAGAACAGAAAAGGACTTCAGCGGTTTGGCTGTTGCTTCGCAGCCAGTGCAGCCTTGGGTTTCTATGTGGAGTAGACAGAACGTAACACGTTTCAAGAACTTTCAGTTGATGAACATTTTCCTCAACCAAAAACTGGGCTCGTCCGGGATTTGAACCCGGGACCTCTCGCACCCTAAGCGAGAATCATACCCCTAGACCAACGAGCCACATGAGGAAGTCTTCGTAATTCTGCCCCAAGGCTCATTCTGCAATGGGTCAAAGCGCCTTGGAAAATTTTCTGTTGATAGGACAGACTGCCCCTTGGTAAAGTGGACAGCCTTCCCCAGAAGTCAAGGCTTGGTTGCTGGGAGGCTTCCGGTGGCAGAAAGGAAGCCCAGAAATCACAAAGGCTTCCGTTTGTAAAGAAAAACAAAAGTGAACTACATAGGCCCCAGCGAGAATTGAACTCGCGACCCCTGGTTTACAAGACCAGTGCTCTAACCCCTGAGCTATGGAGCCCCAGTTGGTATCTGGCCTTCCTATCTCTCTTCTTATAGATACATAACGTGAGCCTGGCTGTTCGGGCCATTAAATGAGACTAAGGATCTTGGGGAATGTTTTCCTGTTCTGGCTTTGAACAGAGACATTCTAGTCCTTTTCTTGGTAACTGGAACGCTGCATCGCGTGCACAGAACTCAGGACGGACCCAGACAGATTTCCGGACTTGTACACACCGGGGACCCTGAGATAGAAAATCCAGCGGGCAGCCTGACCAGCAAGGAGCGCAGTGCACGGTTTCTGGGGCTCAGCGCAAGAGCCAGATGAAAACCGGGGACAGGCGGCAAAGCTGCCACCTCGGGACTGAGGGTCGAACCCCGGGACCGCGGCCTCCCTGAAAGTTCTCGGAAAGCAGCAGCTGAACCGCGGGTTCCCCTCCCCTAAAGGTAGACACAGCTTTGCAGTTAAAAAGGGAAGATTTACACTTTAAAAGTTTTTAAAAATCTTGTTTATATAACCTGGTAAACAAGAACAAAAATTGTATTTAGCTAAGAAAAATTTCCTAACTATTCCTTGCTGAAAGCATTAGATTATATATTATATTAGATTCATTGTTTCCTGGGACATTTATGTAAATATATGTGACGCCGCTGACCTTCAATCCTTTTAAAGGAGGGGTGTGCTCCATTTATTAGGCAAACGAGGCATTTGCAGCAGGTGTTTTTGATCTGGGACGAGTTGCTGGGGGCCTCACAGTGCTGTCCTACGGCAGGAGGAATGGGGTCCTTGGTGGCCGCACTGGGGCTGTTCTCTGAGCACTCTGCGTTCAGCCCTCAGACCTTTGGCCTCCACTCCCCAAGACAGTCTCAAGACCGGCGCAATCAAATCAAGTGTATAAAAATATACAAAAAGCCTACACAAGACAGTTGATGAGCAAAACTCCAGCGTGATCTGTCAGACCTCCCAACTTAAGGACATGGAAACGGCCTGTCTCCTTTTCTAGAACAGAAAAACCAAGTTAAAATATATTTTGGGGCTGGAGAGATGGCTCAGCAGTTGAAAGCATGTACTGGTCCACGCAGGTGGCTCACAACTGCCTGTAACTCCAGTTCTGCGGGGTCTGTCGCCTCCTAGCCTCCTCGGGGTACATGTACACACATGTATGTACACACACACACATACACACACAACCACCACCACCACAACAACTTGGAGTTGTAGGTGGTGTGTGAATGTTGGAGTGCAGTGATTAGGAAAAAACCCTGAGTTATTTAACTTAACTATTTAAGTTTTGTAGGTTATTATTAAGCTATTTAGTTGTCGGTGTACTTCTTTGGAAACAAATACTCCTTGTGATCATCATTGTTTTTAATTATCTTTATTGTTAGAACTCTCAGAGATTGGCTTTAGACAAAACCAATAAGCAGTCAGAACTGCCCCCCACCTCTTTCTTCTCTGATCATATTCTTCCTCCCTCTCCTTTGCCAGCTATAGCCCCTCACCCTCACCTTCTAACTTCTGTTCTCTTCCTGGATTGATTTATTCTCCTTTACTCATAATTTGTTACACATTTAAGAGAAATTTAAAATACCCAAGAGAACATTCCAAGAGGAAGCCTCTTAGGCAGAGGTTGACTTTGAAAACAGGATTCTTACCTGTCAAAACAAATAAACCTCTGATCAATAAATCCATCCACCTTCAGCCTTCCTGTGCACAGGAGTCACACCAGGATCTTAGGTCAACTCTCATATTCTCCCACCCCACCAGAGCTTACGATTTCCTGTGGTTGGCCTGTCTGACTCCAGAGTATCTCGAGTCCCTTCCACTTGAGATCAGTATCATGCCTGGTGTGCTGGCCCATCCTGAGTACTTCCTCCTCTGAACAGCTCGATTCCTAGTTGAGAATCACCAATATTTTGATTTACATTTTTGCTTATTTGCCTGTATTTCTTCCATTTCCCCTCAACTTTCTATTCTGAAATACTTTAATATTAATGTGGAAATAAACAAAGATCAAGTCAGCAGGAAGGATCAAGGACATTCAGAATGTGGCACAGCGAGACAGTGCATTGCCAACCCTTGCTCTTTGGTAAGATTCAGTGGCAGGTAGTGAGAAGCTTTTTGGTGGACAAGGAGAAGGCCTGGGTTTGCTATGACTGGAGGCTCTCAGCATGGGGAAGCTGTGGGTGGGGAGCTACCATTTCATAACTGCAACACAGATGAGGGCATCCCAAGTGGTTACGAATTCCTATGTGCCTTTCTTTGGTTGCTCTTAAGTGGAGAAGCTGCTGATCAAGCGCCAGTGCCCAGGGCTGATTTTTAAGGGTGTTACCATTTGGTTTCCTAGGCTGATCACTATAGATAATGGATTTATTTCCTGAGCCAGCTGTAAAGTCTCAGGTTCAAGAGGAACACTAGGCAGATGGTCACTGAGGCCACAAGCTTTATTTAATGCCACACAGAATGGTGGGATCAAAGGAAAAGGCTTCAGACCCACCCACAAAGAGCAAAGATGAACATTTTAGGGCTTTCAGGGACGGCAGTATGTTCTAGTTTGTTTCTCCACTGCTGTGACAAAACACTCTGACCAATACCAACTTGAGGAGGAAAGGGTTTATTTGGCTTATATCTCCTATGCCACAGTTCATCACTGAGGGAACCTGAGGTAGGAGCTCAGGCCAGGAACCTGGAGGCAGGAGCTGAAGCACAGGCCATGGGGGAATGGTGCTTACTGGTTTGCTCCCCTGGCCCCTGCTCAGCCTGCTTTCTTATCCAACACAAGCCCACCTGCCCAGGGGTAGCACCACCCACAGTGGACTGCGCCCTCCACATCATCAAAAAATCAAGAAAATGCTCCACAGACATGGCCACAGGCCAGTTCAAAGAAGGCAGTTCCCCAATTGAGGCTCCCTTTACCCAGGTATGTCAAGTTGACAACTAAAGCTGTCCCGCACAGAGTGTGAGGAAGTTTTGTCAGTGTATGACTTGGAAGAGGAGGATGTAAGAAAACCCCTAATGCTTAGTTAATGGGCGTCCATCATAGAGACTGTACCACCTTAATAACTCTGGGTCTGGTTGGCTGGGGAGGTTGGTAAACTTCTTTTAAATAATAATAATAATAATATATAATAACAATAATTATTATTAAACAACAATAATAATTGTTACTATTATTATTTGAGACAGGGTCTCACTATGTAGCCATGACTTGCCTGGAACTCGCTATATAGACCAGGCTAGCCTCAAACTCATAAAGATCTTCCAAGTGCTGGGATTAAAAGCAGGCACCCCCCCACCCGCCAAAATTACATTTTTCACACACACACACACACACACACACACACACACACACACACACATATGTATATGTATATGTATGTATAATCACTGGTACATTTTTAAACCATCTTTGAAACACCATTATTGACCAGCCAGTATCAATACATAATTATTAACCAAAGAATGTATCTACATGAGGATTCACTTGTAGCATTGTACATTCATGTATGTATGACATGTATTCATCATTATAGTGTCATACAGAATGGTTTCATCATTCTGAAAATCCTGTGTTGCATCTACTCCTTCCTACTACCCTGACTCCTGAGAACCACTGCCTGTTTCGCCATCTCCACAGTTTTTGCTTTACCAGAATGTCAGAAGGTTTGAATTACACAATATACAGCATTTTTAGCTTTAGCTTAGTAATATGTATTTAAATTTACCTCCAGGTCTTTTTATGGCTTGATAACATTTCTTCTTGGCACCGAATGCTATTCTTATTGTCTAGATATATCACTGCTTATTACTCACTTATCTGCTGAATGGCATCTTGGTTGATTTCAACTATGAAGAAAGTGGCTCTGTTAGAGTAGCAAAAAGCCCCATAAATTTAACTCGTACAGGCTATAAAATGTCTAGTCTATCTGTCAGAGGAGGACCCACTTTTCCAGTCTCACTGTCAATCACTGTCAATCACCTGGTGGTGGAACCAGTCCTAGGAAGGCAGAGTCACCTTAAGTTATGCTAAATAGATGGGCGGAATACTTGGGGCCTTAATGAGGTGGCTAATTTTTCCTGGAACTAGCACAGATCTCTGCAGAACTTCTGGTCCAGCCACAGTCATGTAGGTCTCTGTAAGTCTATCTGCTTTCCTGAATTCTTCAGGTAAGCATAATTTCTCCTTTTCTTCTTCATGCCTTTCTTACTAAACATGCTTTCTCTAAGGCTTTGGGCTGCCCCTAGCATCTTGTAGTATTTCTTTACTTTTTCTCTAAAGCTTCCTTCTCCCAGCCATGTGGCTGCGAGTCAGCCATGTGTCTGACCCCCCACGTAAGCTCTAACCCTGCATGGCTCCATGGCTTTCTTTCCTTCTTCCCACCATTCACCTCCTCAATGCAGCTGCCAAGATGACCAGTTCATCTGTCCTGGGGATTTTTCTTTAAGATTCTAGTAAAATTGTAAAGGCTTCCGTTTGGGTCCGTTCTTAAATTCTTTTACGAATGAGACTAAGAATCCTCTAGGGGACCCTCTTTCTCCCCATTTCAGCTCTAAACATTGATATGAAGGTTACTGCATGTATGTAAGTTCCATCAACCCATTTGAACCTAGGAATATGACTAGCCTCTATCTGATATACTTTCTTAATCTTGTAAGACTGAAAACCTGTCTTCCCTGAAAGAGTGAGAACAAATTTTAAAAATCTTCCATAAGATTAATTACCACAGGGTATTTTTTAAATTTTATTTTGTAAAAGTAAAAAATAAAACTATTTTTTAAAACATTTATTCATTTATTTGCCTGAGAAAGGGGGACAGTGTGCATGTGTAGATAAGAGGACCTTGTGGGCCCCAGGGATTGAATACAGGTCATCAGGCTTGACAACAAGTGCCGTTACTTGCTGAGTCATCTCGCTGGCCCCCCAAAATAAAATTGTTTTTAAAAGTAATGAATACATAAGTGGCATATTTTGAAAAAAATTACGCACAAATAAAGAATTTTTTTTTTTTTTTTTTTGCTCTTTTTGAGACAGGGTATCTCTATTGTTGACCCCAGCTGGCCTGAAACTTGATATGCAGACAAAGCTGGCCTCAAACTCACAGGGATCTGCAGCTTCTGCCTCTCAAGTGCTGCGACTAAAGGCGGGTGTCACCATGTCAGCCACCCTTGTCAGTTTTAAATGATGAACTTCCTGAAGCAGACATTGAGTACTTGTTCAAGTACATGTCTCTCTAAACTTGAAGACTTGCAATGTCTGTTTGTTCTCCAGAACATTCTACGGTACTGCCCTGGCATCTTGTCAGTATTAGGCATTGATAAAGACCACCAATTCCTCCTTTGGTAATTACCATTTCTTTCTTTTCTGTGTGGATATCTGACCTCTGCATTGCTTTTTCTCTGTGGTGTTCAGTTGGGTTGTTTATTGATGACTTTTCAAAGGGCAGACCTTTCTAGAGTCCTTCTAGAAATAGAGTCCTTCTCCTAAAACCTTGAATTCTCATGAATTATTGACAATAATGGAAGAATATAGAAATAACAATAATGGTTGTTGGAAATTCAGACAAGTCAAGCCAGCGTGGAAGATCAGGCAATAACCAACCGAAATCTGAAGCAAACATCACTAACTTATGTTTAAACCAACCCACTGCAAGATTACAGAGTGCACAAAAAATTAAGGTGCATGGTTAGCAAAAACCTCTTATTCAGTTGCTTAAAGACAAAAATGAGTGTGCTAATCGTTTGATTTGGAAGCCTAAAATATCAAAGATACTGAAAACCCATGGAGTCTTGAGCTGGAATCGAATCTGTGTCACCAGCAACCAAAACTCTGGAGTGGTCCACGCTACCAACTGAACCATCACCAAACTGTACATGCAAATGTAGGATAGACCTTCGTGAAGTTTGTAATAGCTACAGGCTTTGTTATGTACAAGGTTTAGGCTACACTTCTTAGAGTTCAAAAGATTTCCAGGAAACCAGACCTTACAGTAAAGTGAATCCTGGAAATCCTAGCAGAGGCTGCCAAACCGCAAGGCCTGAGTCCAAAGAAATGAGCAAGCAAATCTAGCAAAGGTTATCCTATCCTGTACGCTTCTGGCCCAGGCTGCCCACATCTGTGAACCCATTTGCAGATCAGGAACGCAGGGAGCAACCTCAGCAAGGTAAGGACCAAGGAGGCGCCATCTACGATGTGGCATAAGAGTGATGTCACTGTTACCGGCCTGCCCAGTTTCCTAGAACCATGTCTGTTTGGCTTTCCTAGACTAAAATGGAGAGTTTTTATTCTTTAACGAAGACATTGAAGAACCTCTCCATACTCAAGACATTTACCTTTGGACCTGCAGAGCTTGGGGATCAAGATGGGGCGGTGGGAAGGTATTCAGGCCTCCTTACCAGTTAGGCTCTTTTACAGATTGCTGTAAATTTTCATGAAGCAGAGAGAAGCCGGCTGGGTTGGGATGCACCTTTGGGACCCACCTTTATGTCACTTCTCCACCTAAGCCCTACCTCTGGGCCCCTCAGCTCTTCTTTTTGGGCCCCTTATTATGGAAATGTTAAAAGCTTTTACAATTAAGAACTTTGGAGCAGGAAAAACTCCAAGACTAGAGATAGGTTTGGGGGAGGTGAGCAAGAGTCTTCCCTGCTGCCCCCGTGGTTGCTCAGTGTAGAAGTCTTTGTTTCCCGTCTGTTCACATCTGTTACCTTTGCAGCCCTATGTTATCTTACTTAATTACCATGCATATGCTATGTACCTTTTGCTTGCATTCCTCATTCATGTGAGTATAAAAACTCTCCACAACTTGAACAAGGGGTCTGACTCCTTTACAGAAGCGATCCGTGGATCAGTCCCAGTAGCCGCAAATTAAACTTCCTCTCCTCACCTGACTTCGACTGTTGGTCTCTGATTTTTCCGTAACACTCTGACCCCTTCAAGCTCCCAACTTGGTGTCTAGAACAAACAGAAAATTGAGTGGCGTAAGAGATCCAGGGAGAGCCAAGCCTCCCTCCTCTGGTCTCCACCCGAGCTGGAGTCTAGGGCCTCGTCCAGGACTCTAGTCATTCACCAACTGTGTATCAGGAATGAGCTTGGTGGCAAAACCACCAAGGCAAATGTTGCTTTCCCGGAGACTGAGAGCCTCAGCCCAGCATCTTTATTATCCGAGCAGAAGAGATGGCAGAGTGAAGCCACCGCACTCCCAATCCACCCATCACCCTTGGGTTGGTAGAGAAGCAGTAGCCACTGGGAGCAAGCAGCATGGGACTTGTACGTGCTGTCACCATGGCTGTGAGTTCATATGGGTAACTGACTAGCTGTCTGGAAAACTCCACTTCCTTATGGTCATCCACCACCACTGGCTCTTACAATCTTCCCACCCCAACTTCTGCAATAATCCCTGAGCCTTGGGAGGCAGAAGTTTGATACAGGTGTTCTATTCAGGGATGAGCACTCTGCAACTTCTTGTTCTCTGCACATTGGCCAGTTGTGGGTTAACCACTGTCTGCTGCATAATGAAACTTGTCTGGTGATAATTGAGAGATGCATTATTCTGTGGTTATAAGTTATTAGGAGTCAGTTTAAATAACTACTCAGTAGAAAACTAGTATTAGGTTCTTCTCTATGCCTTGTGTCCTGTCTAGTCTCAGATTCCTAAGCCTGGTATCAATGTCAGGACCTTAAATTCAATTAGAGAGTGGTTAGCTACTTCCGTAATAGTCATGTCACTATTGCACCACTGAGCCTATCCTTCCAGGCAGTTGTTATTGTAGTTCACAGAATTCACAGCTGGATAAGGTAGATGATTATTTTTTCCTTCTAGTAGCTTGCATAGCACCTTCCAGCACTATGAACAGTAGCCAGTAGAGATGAGGCTCTGAAGTCAGCACCAGCTTGATTTCTTGTTTGTTCTACGGCTCATATATGTAGTGTCTTCAGCAGTATGGTCTTACCATCCAGTTGTGGTGGGTAACCAAGAGCAGGGGCAATGGCCAGTATTGTTTGAGTGTCTGTGGGACCCCTGGTAATCAGCTTCCAGAGGAGGAGTCCATTCCTGGCATTGAGGTTTTATTTTATTAGCCTATGATGCCTAGAAGGAGTAATGTCCCCCTATTATATGGCCCTATTATATGGTAACTCCCTTTAATCTCTTTTTATAAAGCATCTGTATATACTTTAACAAGTTTCTAGGCTGAGAACTCAGCAGACAGCCTGAAAGTGCCAAAATCAGGCCTCCTGTTAATGAACTTCCCAAATTGTGCTCCGAGTACCCCCTAGTAGGGGTCCAAATGTTAGAAGGAAGCCTGAGTGTACTTGACTGGAGCCTGACTTGGGCTTCTGTGGGAGCTCTGAGTAGCTGAACTGAAGGCACCAGTTTCCTCCAAACTAAATCTGAGAGAACCTGAAACCTGGACCAACCAGCTCCACATACCCAATAAGAAAACAACTGAAGCACACCAATAATACAAACAGAAGAATACTTACAACTCAACAAAGGAAGGCTTGAATTTCATACCAGAATCACAAACAACAAAAGAAATCCACACGCCAAAATCACGATGGAAAAATAATAACAGGGAAAACCAAAACAGCACGTTTCCACCAAACTCCACCAGTCCTGGAGAAGAGTTCTGCAAGGAGAACCCCCTAGAGATAACCCAGGACAGTGAATTTAAAAGAACAATCACAAACATGATTAAGGAATTCAACAAATTTAAAGAACACACGAGCAAACAAATCAAAGAACTAAAAGAAGATAGGGATAAACTTCTGAATGAATTCACAAAAGAGATAGGAACATTGAAGAAAACTCAGGCAGAAATGAAGAAGGAAGTGAAGAATTCAATAAGCCAATTTGAAACAACAGGAGAAAGCCTCACTGATAAAATGAATGAAACGGAAAACAGAGTATCAACACTGGAGGATAAAGTTGAATAATTGGACCGCTCAAGCAAAGGTCATGAAAAATTTTTTTAAAAACACAGGAATGGAATATGCAGGAGATGTGGAACACCATGAAAACACCAAATCTATGTATCATAGGCATAGAGGAAGGAGAAGAATTTCAGGTTAATGGTACTGATCAGATCTTAAACAGGATTATAGACGAGAACTTCCCAAAACTAAGGAAAGACAACCCCACACAAAAACAAGAAGCACATAGAACACTAGACAGGACCAGAAAAGAAACTCCCCACAACATATCATAGTAAAAACACTAAATGTGCAGAACAAAGAGAGAATACTGAAAGCAGCAAAAGAAAAACAAGTCACATACAAGGGAAACCCATCGGAATTACAGCTGACTTATCAATGCAAACTATGAAAGCCAGAAGACCCTGGATCAAGGTATTTCCAGTTCTACATGACAATAGATGCCATTCCAAAATACTATACTGAGCAAAAAAAGTCTATTATCGTTGAAGGGGAAAGAAAAATCTTCCATGACACAAACAGGCTGAAAAAATACATGTTCACAAAATCAGTCCTTCAAAGAATACTTGAAGCAATACAAAAAAAATGGAAAAAGGAACAGCTATACCCCAGGAGCAACAGAAAGAAACAAAATGAAGGGATAATTGTGGAAACACAAAAGTAGATAAAGAATGCAAACAGTAACCAAAATGATGGCAACCAATGTAGATCTTTCCATTATAACTTTAAATATCAATGGACTGAACTTCCCAGTCAGAAGACACAGGCTAGTTTAATGGATTAATATACAAAATCCATCTATTTGTTGTCTGCAAGAAACCAATCTCACTTTCAAGGACAGGCACTACCTTAAGGTGAAAGGATGGAAAAGAATATTTCAAACAAATGGCACCAAGAAACAAGCAGGAGTTGCAATTCTAATATCTGACAAAGTAGACTTCAAACTAAAACTAATCAGAAGAGATAAGGAGGGTCACTTCATTCCGATCAAAGGAACAATTAACCAAAAAAATATTACAATCCTTAATATATATGTGCCAAACTCTGGTGCACCCAAATTCATAAAAACAACACTACAGGACTTTGAGACACAAATTAACCCCAACTCAGTGATAGTAGGGGACTTCAATACCCTATTGTCTCCATTAGACAGGTCAACCAAAGAATAAACAGAGAGACATCTGAATTAAATGATACCATACATCAAATGGACCTAACAGACATCTTTCGAATATTCCACCCAAGCACCAAAGAATACACTTTCTCTTCAGCATTCCATGGAACTTTCTCAAAAATTGACCACATACTGGGGCACCAAACAAACCTCAACAAATACAAAATAATTGAAATAATTCCATGCATTCTGTCAGACCACAATGCAATAAAAGCTTAAAATCAACAATGGAAGAAGCTCTACTCACTACACGAACTTAAGGAGATTAAACAACACACACCTGAATGATGAGTGGGTCAAAGGAGAAATTAAGAAAGAAATAAAAGTATTCTTGGAATTCAACAAAAAGGACAATACAACACAACAAAACCTCTGGAACACTTTAAAAGCAGTCCTAAGACAGAAGTTTATGGCTGTAAGTACCTACATTAAAAAAATCAGAAAGAGCACAAATAGATGACTTAGGATCCCAACTGAAGACTCTGGAAAGGCAAGAAAAAATGAAACCCAAACCCAGCAGAAGAGAAGAAATAACAAAAATCAGAGCAGCAGTGAATGAAATAGAAACAAAGGAAACAATACAAACAGTCAATGAATCTAAGAGCTTTGAAAAGCTAAATATGATAGGCAGACCTTAGCCCAGTTAACCAAAAGAAAGAAAGAGCAAATCCAAATCAACAAAATCAGAGATGAAAGAGTAAACATCACAACAGAAACCCCAAAGATCCAGAACATTATAAGGGAATACTTTAATAACCTATACTCTATTACATTTGAAAACCTAAAAGAAATGGATGTATATCTAAAATCATGGGAACCACCAAAGTTAAACCAAGAAGAGATCAACAGTTTAAACAGACCCATAACATATAAGGAATCTGAAACAGTAATACAAAGCCTCCTAAGTGAAAAAAGCCCAGGCCCAGATGGATTTACAGCAGAATTCTACCAGACATTTAAAGAAGACCTCCAACCAATACAATTTAATTTATTCAAAAGGATAGAAACGGAGGGAGAACTTCCAAATTCCTTCTATGAAGCCAGCATCACTCTTATACCAAAGCCAGGTAAAAGCACAACCAAAAAAGAAAACTGTAGACCATATCCTTAATAAACATAGATACAAAAATTCTCAACAAAATACTTGCAAACTACATACAGATGTACATCAAAAAGATCATTCACCATGATCAAGTAGGCTTTATCTCAGAGACGCAGGGATGGTTGAATATATGCAAGTCAATAAACATCATTAATTATATAAACGGACAAAGACAAAAACCACATTGTCATCTCAATAGATGCAGAAAAGGCTTTTGATAAAATTCAACATGCATTTATGTTCAAAGTCCTATAGGGAACTGGACTGGACAGAACATACCTCAACATAATTAAATCTATCATCATTCTAAATGGAGAAAAACTGGAAGAATTCCCAATAAAATCAGGAACCAGACAAGGATGTCCACTATCTCCACTTCTTTTCAATATAGTGCTTGAAATTCTTGCTAGAGCAATAAGACAGGAGAAAGAAATTAAAGGAGTACTAATTGGAAAAGAAGAGGTCAAACTATCAGTTTTTGCAGATGATGTTACTATACCTAAGAGATCCCCAAAATTCCACCAGAAAACTCCTAGAACTGATCAACACTTTCAGTAAACTGGCAGGTTACAAAATTAATCTACAAAAATTAATAGCCTTTCTATATGCCAATAACAAGCAATTGGAGAAAGAGTGCAGGGAAACCCTCCCATTCAGTATTGCCACAAAAAATATAAATATCTTGGAATAAACCTGACTAAAGACATCAAAGATCTCTACAACAAAAATTTTATATCTTTAAAT